CTCTGCGATTTTTTGGGTTTTTTTTTGCAGGCTGCAGACAATAGGAGTTGGAGGACATGGAGGGTGCTTGTGTGATAACTATAAGTAATGGGTGTAATTGGTGATAGGATATACAGCATTTCTCAGTTTTTCCACTCCCAGTTAGCGTGGGGTACTTCTCAGACCGTGAGTGAGGCTTGGTTCGCGAGCCGTGCCACTTTCTGCTTTGAAAAGTGCTCCTCCAAAGTCCTACACTTATATAAACGCGCCCTCTTCCACCTGTCAATCAGCGCCTCCCGGAACCGTTGGTGTATTTTAAAGCACACATGACGGTTTTGGTTGTAACTTTTCTGGAATGGCACCTTTTTTAAATGCAAATAATAGGTGTTCAATGATAAAATCGCAGTTTGGGAAGGCAATTTTTAACACATTTTGTAAGTTAGAGGAAGTAGAGCCTTGTTGTAAAACTGATGAGATCACAAGAGGGAGATGCACAGTTCGTTATGAAGTCTGGCATAATTGACAATAAACACATTCTTTAGACACATACATTACCCCAGAAATAAATATAGTATAATATTCATATTATGATTCAATTCAATTTCAATTCCATTCATTCCTGTATAGCCCTAAATAATGGAGGACTTTACAAAATCATTGAATTCGCCAATACAGATCAGAGAATCAAACAGTTTAACAAGAATTGCAATGATAAAAAACACATAGAGCCATTGGTCCATAAGGGGCAAATGATCAATGTCCATACATGTTTTTGAATATGAACTTTATCAAAAGTTTGTATTATGCTAATACATTATTATATATTGATTTATGTATAATCATAATTTAGTCGGTTAAACTATATTACCTCTGTAAGAAGAGTTCTGGCCCAGTACACAACAACCCTCATCAATCCCAACCAGGACACAATAGACATTCAGCAGTGCAGTAAAGTGGCAGTGAAGTGACCTTAAGGTGGCGGTTGTGTAGGGTCAGTGACGAGCGAGACATTTGGAGAAAGCAAAATGCCGAAAGACACAACAACAGCCTTCACTTTCCAGTCAACGATTCAAACTGAACCCGCAACCTTCAGGATATAAAACCACGACCTCTCTCCCACCTGAGCCATTTGCATTCATTTGCATTTTTATGTCAAAATAGCTCATTATTGAGACAACATTCCCCTCTCGCCAACACGTCTGACCGTGATGACAGTAAACCTTGGGGCGGCGAGTCCAACGTTGAGGTAATTGGAGCAAGAGGACGCGCAAGGTGCAGTTCCAGAGCGGTCGTGGCATGTACTCCGCTGTTTGAATAATGTAATACTTCATGTTTGATAATGCGCGGCTATAGATAGGTCTGAGGCTGCAGCCAAGTATCGATCGGGTTAAGCACATCTGCGCCAGTGCAAATAGTGCGGCTTCATATCAATCTTTTCGTATGCGGCGGCTCGGATGGCAGATACAGGTCTGATTACGCGCACCTCCAGGCTACCGTAGCTGCTAATGACATTATTGATACGTCCGACCACACTGCCAATTTGGAAAGGTGTGGCTGTGGATGAGGTATGTGTTGAATGTAGCGTGTGCGGTTTTCCTAGTTGCAGTATCCGTATTTTATTACCGTACACAACGTTGTAACTGAAACCAGGAGGTAGTGTCGCTCGTCGTTCCGGGTTTTGAGCATCGGTTCCCATTTGTGACGGTTTGACTCAAATTTAGACGAACTTACTGTATAGAATATCTGTCAAACAAAGCTGTTCTTTGAGGGATTATAACACATATCTGTGCACTTAAGAGGCCTGATCTGACTATCCCCAATTCAAATCTGCAATTTTTCAACTGTGTCACATTCATCATTTTGAAATTAAAAATATGAAAAATTCTGTTTTTGTGCCACTTTTTTGATCCATGGGCGTCACAGATTATAACTAAACAGAAGACAACAGCAATCTAGGGATAGCTTCTTTAATGCACTTACATTTGTTTAAAAGAAATATCATATATATGTGTGGGAATCTTTTGGAGTGCTTAGACATACTGGATATTGTCTGTCAATGTCTATAGTGACAATTATTTTGATTTCAATGGGACAATGTGTGGTAATGAACAGCTGTGAATACGGTGGACATAACCCAAGGCTATTTTTCATCCCTCGTCCCATTGTGCATGTTTCAGCGCTAAGGGAAACCAGAACACCCAGAGGGAAGCCATACATGCACACGGGGAGAACATGCAAACTCCACTCAGAAAGAGCATCTTGGTGTTGATTCAGTTTGATTTTTTTGAATTGAAGAAAACTCAATTCTGAAAAGCAGCCATGGATTTTAAATCAGAACCAGGCCTTTATACAGTAGCTAAAAATCAAATAGGTATGTTAATGTATAAGTGAATATCAGTTACAAGTCATAGTGCAGGTGCATCGGCGTGTATTGTCCCCCTTTAGGCATACTAATGAAGAGGCGGCCACTACAGACAGGCGGCGCGTGCCCTCCCACAGCATGTGCACATTCACCGGAGAATTTCGATATTAATGATTTATGCCATATTTGCATACAAACCTAATGCAAACCCTCTCCAGATAATCACATTTTGCCAGGTCTGAATTGAGTTTTATAGATGTCTGCGCGGCCCCCACCGAATAACAGAAAAAATGTGTGGCTTTGGCTCTTCACATAACGGCTGACCCCCAACATAAGGGGTTCACAAGTGGACGCGTAAAGGGGAGCGCTAATAGTGCGTTTTATAAAGCAGAACGGGAATGAGTTATTTTCCCGACTCAGATGTAACATGGATAAAACATGCGATTTGAAGGAGTCTATCACAATGACTATTTACACTTAATGCATAAATTGTGCATAATAGTATTGCTTAGTGGTGAACAACACAATAATTACTTTTATTTAATTGTTTTTCAATGTTTATATACACTTTTCATACAAACCATTACAAAGAGATATTCATCGTATCAATATGAACATACAAGATATTACTATTGAAAATACAGTATTTGAAACTGCTTGGTTTTCACTAAACCCAGTGGTTAAATCTTATTGATATTGAGATCTGAAATGCTGTTCTTATTGTCCAGCCCTAGTCAAAACACTGACCATTTTTAAAACTACTCTATACATTTTTTGTCATGGGATCTGCAATCTTTTTGTTTCCATTAACTTGTTTTGCTTTGTTATTATATTCAAGGCCATATTTAATACCAAGTGATTTTACAACTCAAAAACATTAATTCTTACAGTCACCTACCCATAGATACAAACTGTAATATGGCCAAATGAAACTTGGTTGTCTAAATTGTGGATTGCTTTCTTTAGCACCATGCTGTGAAATATTTCTGTAAAAAATATGACTTTTACGATTAACAAAGGCATTTGGTAGAGCCTCCACCAAGGAGTTAAGTAATGCACCTTCAATGTTGCTGTACTTTGGTCCTCATACCAGTCACTGTCATACGATATTACAGTAAGAAAAAAAACGGCTATTGTAAAAATAGGTATATGCAATTACAGTGAATTGCTTGCGCAGGTCAGATAGGACAAAGTCACACTCATGCTCTCCATTTTCGCGCTTTAATCCCTCCACACTATCATTTATAGAGCACAGGGCTATCTTCAATGGCATCCCCCAGATTGGCATGATGAATATCGAGTGCCAGGATGTAGGAAACATAATAACTTGTTGCGTTTTCTAATTACAATGAAGCCTGCCTCTGCCTGGGACAAAATAACAACATGTAAGAAAGGCTTTTGTTCTACAGAGAATGCCTTATCTAAAAAGGTCAGCATTCCGAGTTGCGAGGGAACTGCCCACGTTACATTGCAATCCTTTACACAGGCTTACATACAGACAAGAAGTAGGACATGCTAGCACAAAGCCATGCCTCCTATTTTTTGAAAAAAATAATTCTTTATCTTATGATATTGTTACTAAATGGATAAAATGCAGATTGCATGGAGATTGGTGCCATGACAACGACTAATGTTTTGTCAAATGTAAAGGTCAAACCAACACGTGTAGCCGAGACGGTTCATTATCAAAGCGGGTTACTGTTATTAATAACTCAATACATCCTCCATTGTATATAATTTAATGTATATATGTGAACAACTGCAAAATGAGCTTGGGGAATATATGTTCCCTTTAAATATAGTCTTTACTGCTGTGAGGAATGTTGGGCTGCAAAGAAAAGTCATATATTTTAAGTACATATAATGGTAATAGTTAACTTTGGTGGAATTACCATTTAAAGTCTACAATGTAATTTACAACTCAAGATTTCTGTCATTGGAAAGACTGTCATGTTGGCAGCTATACATTTATAAGTTTAATAGCCTTATCTTTCTCCCGCAGTTTCTCTTTTTGCAGCATTTTGAACCCAACTAGGACTCTGTATCTTTTTATTTTCGTGCTATATAGACACTTTGCCAAGCAGCTCCTAAACTGTAAAAAGACCATTGTAAAACATTGGAAACAGAAGAAAAAAAATAGGACTTCTTTCCCCGAGTCTCAAGGAGCGGCTGTAACCTTAGCGGCATCATGAAAGCTGACAGTTCATTTTTCACAGGGTCATAGATCGACGAGTCTTATAAAGTAATGGGCTTTTGGGAGCGGGCTTTATGAGAGCTAAGATAGTTAAGAGACATGTGGAGGAGATGGCAAGAGGAGCCGAGGTCCTGCTCCCGCTCACCCGAGGTTATTCCCCCTTGCACTGCGCGGGTGGGGAGGCGCTGCACTCCCAGTAATATAAACGTGTAATAAAGATTAATCTGTTGCTAGTCGCCAGCCTGATAGCTTCTAAACTTGCTTGAAATAAGGGCGAAATCACTTCAGAGCCAATCTTAGGAACCTTTAGTGAGTGTCCGTGGTGCAGAAGTAGTGGGTGGCATGGTAAAAAATGTATATGCGTTTGTGTGGTTAGAAAATTGAATTTGTGCTGTGTGAATATATCTGTGTGTCTGTTTTGCTGCTATTATTGTGCCAGTAGAGGTTAGTTAAACACACGCTTACCGGATGCATCTGGCCTCTTCATTCCCCCAGTCGACGTCCCTCCTGCGCTGGCTCCCAGGCCGTTGAACACTGGGATGTTGTCGTTGCCATACGCTCGCAGGACAGACAGCATGTTCAACTGTTGATCGAGGTGTCCAGAAGGAGGAGCGCCACCTGGAGACATGAGGCCCGACTGCCACTGCTTGTCCAATGGAAGGCCATGGTTCATGGAGAGTGGGTTCATGCCACCCAAAGTGCTGCCACTTCTTGGGTCATTGTTGTGGTTCTGGAAATGGTCCGATCCGGGGCTTCTCTCCTCGTCCTCCTCCATTTGACCATTCTCATTCCTGTCACCATCCTCTTCAGTCATGCCTCGGCCATCTTCCAGTTCATCATCGGAGGGGTTTGCCAGCCGTCTCTTGGGGGTTTTAGCACCCTCCTCATCTGACCGAGCATCTTCGGCCACTCCAGACGAGCCCTGGTCACCCATGTCTTCATCTCCAGCTGGGAAGCCTTGATTGGGAAGGTCAACTTCCTCAGTTGAAGGACCATAACCCTGCAAGCCCTGGTTGCCCTTTGGGGATCCATCATACAAGCCACCAAAGCGCCTGTAGAAATCACTCTGAAATGGGTTATACGGCTGGTCCATGTGGTTGTTCCAACCTCCGGGTCCTTTCTCTCCATCATCATTGTCAAACATGTTTTTGCCGGTCAGAGTGGGCGAAGCCTCTCTGCCTGATTCGGGTCTCTGTGGGTGGCCTTTCCCCAGGTGGTTGGCTTGAAGGTGCAAGGCCATGAGCTCCAGAGAGGGAGTGGAGAAGGAGCAGAAGAGGCAGCTATGCCAGGCCACATTGTCATGGATCGTGAGGGTGGCACCAGGGATGGAACCGGAGGCAGACTCAGGCCGGACTGATACAGACAGATCCAAGGGCTCATACTGGGATCCAGGTTTTCCAGGCTGTGAGTTTGGCTTGCCGTCAGCTTTCTCCTCCCTGTCTTGCTCAATGGAGGCCCTTTTGGCTTTGGGCTCGCCGTTGTCATGGTAGCGCTGGGTTGGAAGCTGGATGGAGCTGTCCTTGTGGTCTTTTTTCATGGAATTGAGGACATAGTTGTCCATAAAGGCCTGCAGGGAACCCTGAAAATGGACTCCATTACCAATCATGCTTTGGTAGGCCCGACTAAGGTCAGAGAAGCTTGCTGGATTCTCCGATGAGATCAGAGGTGATGGCCCATCGTTCGGCTTCATGTTTTCTGCGGAGGGGTCAAAATGACGGTCAATGCGGTCTCGGTCGTGCGATGACACCATGTTGCCAGAACCCCATTGGTGTGGCATCAGAGGTCCTCCCCTGAAGTCGAGGCTGGGAGGCATGCCTTTGAAGACATTTCTCAGGACATCTGGACGAGCAAATATGCCTCCACTGTTCTTGCTGTGGTCGTCTTTGTGGTCATTAGAAGAGTTGTGGCCGGCAGACTGGCCTGAGCTGGCAGACCCGTTCTGGCGCTCGCGGTGGTGGCGCTCCAGGTGGTACTTCAGACTGGCAGACTGGGTGCCGGCATAGTCACAATGAGGGCACCGGTAGGGTTTCTCTCCTGAGAGGGCAAAAAAGAGAAACAGAAAGGGAAAAGAGTGAATCATTAACCTGATTATTAGATTGACTGGATATCAAAAGCTATTTATTGGAGCAGGGAATGTGGACCCTAGGGTCATGTAACCTCCCAGAACATGAAAATGAGGTCAAATGAGAAGAGCCCGCAACAAAGATTTGTATTTCATTAACTAGTTTTAAAAGTCTGAATTGCATTTCCATTCAATCTCTGCCATTCATTGTGACCCTGGTTATAGGTCGAATATCATAAACCTCATCTGCCCTCATTTAGCTCCGACAGTCATACTCTGTGTTCTTTCATTTATGAACAAAACAAATAGGACCAGTTATATTTCAAACACTTTTTTTTTTAAATCAATTGGCTTTCATTAAGTTGTTTTCGTGTACAACTTTCCTTTCCAACCCATTGACTTTACTTTGTGAAGAGCTTAAATAGTTTTTGACATATGCAACATGATGAAATAAACTACAAGTGAAAGTAATAATGTGCAGTCCCCTGTCTCTCTTATCAGCTGTGCTCTATTTCATACGTTTGTGTGTGTACTGGGACTACGACTGTGGGGGGAGCAGAGTGGGATAGGCATCTGAATATGGGTCGATCCAGCTACATCAGCCCGCCAAGTGAGCCATCACTCACATCAACACCGTAAAAACATTTCACCATATGGCGCTTTCAGTCCACTACAAGAGATAATATTTTCATCTGACAACAAAACTGTCTCGATCTGATCTGGGTTTGCTCGGCTGAAGGCTGGAGAGAGGCCTTCTGTGTGAGTGCGTGTGTGTGTCTGTGTGTGCGTGTGTGCTTTTGTGTGTGTGGGTGTGCGCGTGCGTGTGTTTGACTCTTCCACAGGCTAAATGCATTGCTGTTGTGGCCTTGTCTGAGCCTTGACGATGAGGGTGCAGTTTCTTGGACGTTACTTATTTGCAGTTTGTCTCGAGGAACATAAATCAGCTCCACTGTGTAAGATTACCCCAACTACTGCCATCTAACAGAGCAACAAGGAAATATGGGCAACCATGCAAAAAGCAAGTCTGTATTAACAAAAAGTGTTGGGACATATGCGAAACACATGCTTGTAGTGGAAGAGCCTCACCATAAAGAACAATATGAATTACTTGCGTGCCCATGGATCAAAGTGATTTATTTTATGTTAAAACAGGGGTGAATCTATTGTGTAACATTTACATATATTTATTTATGATGAGCATCCATATTCATGAACCTACTTGACAATAGTATAACACCAGCACAGTTCTGCCAGAAGTGGATCTTCCATTGGAATGATACTTATGTTGAAATAGAACACATCCTGCTAGCAATTATAATAGGCTCGGAGTCTGAGCCAGATTTGGATTCATTAAACAATGAACAGAGAAGGGAAAATTCTAAGCCTTTTTTTTCCCCTTTAATATATACACATATAAAAAGTTCCCTGCCTGGAATTTCTGTTTGATTGTTAATGGCGGTTGTGTGAAAAGAAGAGATTAGTGGAAAGAGAAGAATAAAGCCTGTTTGTTATGCACACTGTTTATGTGTGGAAATGCGCAGTGCTATATATAAAGTATATGAGCATAAAGTGTTTAGATTATACACATGGAAAGCATTTTATAGGAGAAAAAAGGCATTGTTACGCAAGGCTGGTTTGAATGATTTAAGTCGGGCTGTGTAGTAAATCATGGATATAATTAGCAAATGGCATACTGCTCAAGTAATTTATCATTATTTAGAGGGCACCATTCCAGAAAAAGACTCTGCGATCTGCGGACCTACTGCAGAGTTCTCAAATAAAGGGCCACAAACACTAACTCGATACAATATTGATATAACTGAGAGAAGAATAGGGGGCTGTACAAAAGAGTGGGAAAGAACAGAGAAGAAAAAGGTTATAGCAGGCGAGCAGGGCAGACTGACAATAGATAGCGAGACAGTGATTTGATATTGCTTCTCTTACACTAGTGGCTAAGAAGTATAGAGTATATTTAAAATAAACCGCACAAGATGAGCTTTTAACCGAATAAGTACTTCTCCTGTGTGCTGCTGAACAGAGGCTGTGCGCTGATTTAATAAGGAAACGTCCCTGATGCAAATGATCATTCTCAATTCCTCTAACTGGACAAAATGATATTCTAGGAGCCAAATTAGACAGAAATTAGACTGATCACATTTACCCCCCTTCTCTGTTTTTTTTATTTTTTTATTCCTTATGCAAGATTGTTAATGTTAGAGGGGGGAAATAAAGATTAATGTATCATCTACATATCTGAAATGAGAATGAAAAGCAGAGAGGATTGCGCACCCGACACACCGGCTTTGATGTTTACGCAAAATAAATAGGAAAGCCCTGGGAGGGTGATCAGTGGATTGCAGTTTTCCATTAAAATTTAAGCGTTTAAATATATCGGGAGAGAGAGCGAGAGAGAGAGTGAGAGAGGCTTGACGACACCCCCTCTTACCCTGCGCTGCTTCTCTGTACGCGCACCATTTGGGCCCACGCGAACACATGTTGGTGCGTGCGTGTGTATGTGTGTGTATGTGTGTGTCTATGTGCGTGTGTCTTGGAGGGCCATTTGGACTGGCTAAGACATCTGCTCCATCATACGTCAGGGGCCTGGTGTGACATCTGGGGAATATACTGTATCCTGCCTTGCAACATTACACACAATTTACTGCTAAAGGTCATTATGTACCCGTTAATCCACTTTTAATTGATATCAGCGCAAACAGCACAACCTCCCAGCCACAAGACAGATCGCTGCCGCCACGAAACCAGGAAATTGCTATTTGGGTGTTAAAAATAGAAGGGTAAACTTTCGCATGTTGCTGTCCTGTTTGTTACTCGGGGCAAAAAAGGAGGTTGTTGTGTTGGCGTAGGTGATGTATGAAGGGGTGAGTTGTAAATAGCTTGAAACCAAAATATGCATTTCATTAGCAGGGATTTAGACTGGTAATTTACTACAGTTACATTATCTAAAAATGTGATTAACTTTGTGTTGGGGGGAAGGTATGTGTCCTTATCTTTTGTTTACTTATATAGTTTTTTGTTTTTTTTTAATTATTTTTTGTTGTAGTTTAAAATGGTTGAATTTCAATAAAATGTACGTGTTCTTGATATTCTATTCATATGCATTTCATAAGAGATGGGAATCAAAATTGGTCCCTCAACTATCACGTAAATCGTTCCTTGAGATAAAATAATATAACTTTTTTCTAGAGTAGATACTGTACATAATTATTTTCGGAGCAAAAACTTGAAATGCATCACTTTTATTAGACTCTGAATATGTTTAATGCTTTTCAGATTTTGTCTCAGTAGACCAGTTGCAAATTTGAAAAGATAATGCAATAAATGTATGGATTTTGCAAACATTATCTAATCTTACCTAACTATTATGGCTATGTGCTGTTGATTGAATTGAATCCCTGTCATTGCATTTTAACCAGATAGTAACATGCCATTAATAGCACAATAATAGAAAAAAATGGAGGCGTAAATATATATATATATATATATATATATACACTTTCTTCAATCGTCCTTTTCTGTCCTCCATATAGGTGAAGGATAGGAGAAAATGCATCATTGCAGCTTTGGTATAGCTTCAACATGAAAAACTAGCGGCCATAAACATCGCAGTGACACCTCGGCTCAAATAAATCATTTTTTCTCCAGATTGCTCCTCCGTCCATGGGCTGTTTTCACTGATGTTACGAGAGCTGGCTGTGCGAGAGCTGCAGCCATAGAAACAAGTCCAGATACAGTCCCATAACCTGTACAGAGGGGCAATTAAAACAGCTTAATAGATATGACATACTCCAAGATGAATTTCCTCCAGTCCGGAAAGAAAGAAAAGAAATATAATAATAACATGGGGATCTTGCAGAGGTGGGATAAGGGAGAGAGGCTGCATTACATCTGTTTTAAGTATATCCCATATTAGTGTTGCTAATGGAATTTGCTGATAAAGTATAGGCTATAAGGAGCTTAAGGAAAGGGTCAGCGGTGATAAGGTCGTCAATGTCAGTAAAGAAAAGAAGAGTATTAAAGAAGCGGTTGTGTGGTTTAATGGGATTCGGGGATGTATGTATGTGGAGGGATTAAACAATTATTTTACAGTATGCAAATGGGAAATTGGAAAACTGTACAATGTAAGGTCTTTTACAAAAGCCATGTCAATTGTTCATGATAGTGGGTTTGCTTTGGGTAAAATGATGTTGAAATGACACAATGCATTTTGATCTGAAGGACAATCTAGTCCATACATACAACTGAAGGATTGTGTCTTCTTCTTCTTTCATAATTAAAATTCTAAATGTGTGCTGTGTGATTATCTATGTATGATTTTAATGGTTTCTCGCGTGTTTTGTCTTTCTGGTTTCGTACAGTTTCAATGCATTTTGGGTTCAGTCGAATGTAATGGGAAGTGGTTTGTACCCAGATGCTCATTGTTGACAATAATGTGTAGTGTAATGTGTAGTCTGAGCAAGGCGGAAGTCAATGAAGACAAAAACCCAACAAAAATCATCATAAACATTAAAAGAATCTGCAATTCAATGTAGATAGTGTATTACAGATTATCTACAGATGTATACATTTCTTGAACTGTAAAGTATATTGCATTTTATACTTACTAACATGTTACTTATCAATCTAAAGCTGAAGATGGTGATTTTTTTTATTTTGTTTTCAAGTGCTGTGCTTAATATTCACTTTTTTGTGTGTTGTGTGCTCCTCATTCCTACTGTTCTGTAACTTGCGATGCAACACTGACATTTCCACAAAAAAAGGAACTCTTAATCTAAAAGAAAGCGCATTACACATACTTTTTTCAAGTCTATAGGAGCAAATAGTGTGTTTATTTACAGCTTCCCACACGATTTATGCGAGTAAGACAATGTGTGGAATATCTCCTACTTTTCTCTAATCTCTAATGAAACGCTGTCTACCTGCACTGCGCTGTATTCAGTGCATTTCCTCTCTT